GGGGGGGGGGGGGGGGGGAGGGTGATGACGAGGAGGAACCGCTTACAGAGGAGGAGCTGACAGAGTTTAGTACGTTGCTTGAGAAGATGGCCAAGATGGAGCGTACTGAGTGGGATCTAAGGCTGTCCACGCACCTCATGTCTTTGTGCCAGGTCGGTCACGTGAACAAGGGCGGTAGGCGTTTGCAGCCAGTGGTAAAACTGTACGATAGTGAAGATCTCAAAAGCCCACGAGTGTGTCTTGGTAAACACTGTAAGCTTCCGTCTAAGAAGTGCAGATACAAGGGGACCAGGACGAAGGGGGTGTGTTGGTGCAACGTTTGTTCCAACCTCCAAGGGAAGCCGAGGGCGTTGCCTCTCTGTTTTACATGCGACCCCCCGGCCGCACATTCTGTAGCTGCCGCGCGTGCTGCCAACTCATACACGCCGATCGTCTGGCGCCAGTAGATATTGGCCTCGCTAGGATGGTTTCGCGCAACGGCTGCTTTCTGTTTTCGTTCCCATCATCGTCCCCGCTTCAAGCACGTCCGTGCGTGGGGCTTGTTTTTGGTCTGTCCGTTGTAAGGGTCGAGAGGGGGCGGGGCGGACCCATGCATTCTGAATGTGTTGAATGGTGCCGTTTTTTTTGTTCGTTTGAGTGCTTCCCATAGGTTGCATTGTTTTGCGTACCCGGCAGCATACCGCGCAGGCACTGCTGTTGAGGTGCGATTTTTCCAGCTATTTCAGAGCTAGGTCTTGTGCGAAGGGCGTACGCGTGCATTGCCTTGTTTTAGAGCACCCAAAACACTACGGCAGGAGAGTCACGGATTCTATTTCTTGGGGGCCGGCAGAAAAGGGGGCCGACAGGGGAAAGCGTATCTCTGTATTTCATTTGACAATAATTTAGCACAAGGTGTGCTCAAACGTTGCTGCCATCACAATTTGAAACCACCCGGAAAGGGGAGATCAACCAAGCCGCGCCGTCCCTTCGCTCGAAGCGTTCGCTCGAAGGCTACGAGCGACGTTTTCGGCAGTGTTTTGTCGACCACGCCGACATTGCGGCGGTAGTTCTTGTGTACTCATACACCCCGCGTATATTTTTTCGACGGGCAAGGCCGAGGACGCGACGAAGTTCTCGTTGGATCGTGATGCAGACCTGGTTATTATTTTTGTTGACACACCACTGCCAGCCGATATCTTCATGCACGCGACTATCCTACAACAGGAGTCATCCTGTTGGAAAAATTGCGCCATCCTCGCCCAAAACACAGGAACATCTCTCTTTTTAGCGCCGAAACACACAACTTCCAACCGACTACATGGCGTGTGCTCTAACCCCTTCCCAACAAGAGACTACGGGATTCGCTAAGGCAACAATAACCCCCCCCCCATGCCCGCCAGTGCACTCGTTCTCAAAAAGATAAGAAAAAAGGATCGTTGCGGTAGGCTCCTCAAATTGCTCCTATACTTTGGGATGCTCAACCATGGCATGCCGCTTCTGCACCCTCCCCGCCGCCGTGGCTGCCTAAAGAGAAAAAGCATCGACAGCACATTGCTCCATATTCCCTGCCCCAGGCCATCTGCCCCAGGCCATAGTGCCCTGCAAGCTTCCATGAAACACGGCGCCCGCGGCAGCTGCACGCCTCCGCCACGCGCGTTCATCGCCATGGCTCCGTCGAAGCAAGCCTGTGCAAGCGTGAATACATGTGTTACAAGAGCACCACGCGGCAGAGGTTGGGTTGCGCAACTATTTTAGTACAGCGAGCGGGGGGGTTGTGCTGCTCGGTTTGACGTATAAACGGAGAGGTGCGCTACGCTCTACTAATTCCACTACAGCCGTAGGCAACTGCTGTAAATGTCTACTGCTGTAAATGATCGCAATAATCGGTTTGGCAACGAAACAGCTAGTCTACATTGGAACGGTCAATCCAGAGCGAGTTATGTGTTTACAATGTTGATTTTTCCACGGGTATCGGGCGTGTGCGTCGCGAACACCCCGCACACAGAGAGAGGAGCATGTTGCATTCAGAACACACGGGCGGCGTCGGCGAGTGCGGCGAGTGCGGCACAATTTTGTTCGACCGAAGAACAAAAACCAACTCCGGTACAAAAAAAAACAGCAACAACAGCGATGGGAGCGTATCTTTTTTTTGGGACGGCAGTCGGCAGTCAGAGTAGATACCCCATCATCGAAGCTAGCCAACAATTGCTGTAGTTACAGCACCCTGCACCGTGATGGAGCTCACCTGGTTCCTGTACTTGTTTGCGGTAGCGCTGCCCTCGCCCCACTTTTCCACGACGTCCTGCGTTCTGACCGCGGCGATGACGTGTGCGTGATAGACGCCGCAAAGACCGGGATGTTCTTTCGCTGCCTTTTTTCGAGCGGCGAGGCTCATGTCATCCAGCGGGGCAGGCTCGGCCACGTGCCTGCAGTGCCGCTGGCCCACCTTTGACGCTATCTCGAAAGCGAGCGCCCTCGGGCTGTCGTCCCCATCGACGGGAGGGTTGGCTTGCAGGAATTGTACGAGCTGATCGTGACGAGCAGTAGCGTTACCATCATACCCCGCAACGTCGGCTCTGGAAGGGCGGATATTGCGGTGCTTGGTGTTTGGTGTGACATGAACACGTAGGTCACATGCTCAGCGGAGTGCTGGAGGCGGAACGCCTTCCATGCCCTATGAGAAGTCGAGAAGTATCGAAAGGCTGTAGGGGACTTCTATATACTGGAAGGGAATCACAAAAATTGATCATTTTGGGGTACTGAATTGTCGATGGCTCCCAGGTTGTCCACAACCTGGGACCGCACAGCAAGGAAAAAAATCGCCAAGGGAGAACTAGCGGTGACGGTTTGAAGGCCCAGGAACCTTTCTAGTGTCCCGCCCAACCCCCTCAGCTTGTTGCTGGCCCGCGACA